CATTTATTTGTTTTTCTGTCGTTTATTATATGACAAAGAAATGGATTTACATACTTATAAATATCATACAATGTTTTCGTCTTCATCATTCAATACAAATATCTGCGTTTCGGTTTCTGAATTTTCTACTTTTGCAAGCGTGCATGGTCGACCGGTGTGACTAAATGCTTGCAAGGGGAAAGATATTTTAAAAAGATTCATTAAGAATTACACATAGATCAGTGATAACACACATTGTACGGTGTACGGCGCGGAAAAACAAAATCACTCATGACACTAAACGGAGCATTTTTTGAATTTCTATATTTCCCTCTCTTTTGACCTCGTGTAGCACCAAAAAAAATTTGGAAAAGGTCCAAAAATTTTCGAATTTTCTAATTTTGTTTAAACTTTTGTGCGCTTTTCTCTAATCGTTTTCGTGTTTTCCCTTAGCTCCTCAAAGTTTTGAAGTAGTTTTCACGTCTAATTTATTGCAAAACACATTTCACATAGTCTTATTCACTTTCTCATGCTCTCTTCATAGACGGTACGCGCCGCTCATTCCTTTTTTTTTGAGAACAGAAGGGGACCAATGAGACTCAGTGTTCTATTCTCGTATTTTCTCGTATTTCCGTTGTTACTTCTTCATTGGATGCTACGGGCTATACCTAGAGATCGTTGTACCCGTTTCCTTATGTACTGGCTATTCGTTACTCTCACGCAATGATTTCGCTCTTTTATTTTATTTCTAATGCGTCTGTTTTCTCTCATAGAATGGAAACCTATGAATTCACCAGGTTTTATGCTCATGTGCCTTCTTTGAACTCGATAAATCGAGGGAAACTACGAAGATTCTGAAATCAGTTTCTTTCTAATCGATTCAGCTCATTAAGAGAAGTCGAACAATGAAAAAATTTCTGAATTTGGTTGATATTTGAGAGAGTTATGACATTTCCGTCACAGCAAGTGGGCTCAGTGCACGACCGCTCCCTCTGCGTCATATGCTCTAAATGAAACGTGACAAGTTTTCATTTTCTCACTGAAAAAAAAAATTCCCGGCGTCCGATCAAGTTCATTTTTTGATTCTGCCTTCTGGAGTNCAGTGCCAATGTAAATTTTCCACGAACTCAATTGTGTTATGTACAGAAATGAAAGTCTTCAACTGTACAGAGCATGTTCATGTTCACACTCTCTAGAATTCGTTTCGCGAGCTCTTTCCCAATATGGCATGCGCCTCTGATTTCATTAATGATAAAGAAAGATATTTGGTGAAGCATCTTCGACACTAGGAGGAAGTGGAACATATGGTTCCCTCTCTTGGATTTCCGTGTCGGACCAATAAAAGTTTGGAAA